ATCTACCAAGCAAACGCGGAGCTCCTAACTTATTTATCGAGAATCTTCGAACCTCCTTCCATTATAAATTCATTGTCGATCTTTTGAATCAACAAATATGACCATGATCCAATGGCTGGGAATGCATCCTGAAGTGTCCTCAGAAAATTTTAGTTGTAGTAGAGAATCATATGGTCTCCAAGCATAAGATTCAAGTCTTCCAAACCTGGAAGGTCGAAATGAGATAACTAAAAAATTCGCCGGTTTGCAAAAATAATTCTAATAAACTCAGAACTGATATTGGCCTCAAACCAATTCTTCTTGTGTCTCTGATGGCTCAAGAATATGAAGTAAGTCGGTTCATATCTTAATCCCTTCTGGTTTAGTTGTAATGCTCTAATGAATGCATGTTGGTCCAAAACAGGTAAGGTGTGGTTTTAAAACACATAACTTCGTCAAATAAACTCATATTGTGATGGATCCAGCTCCAAGTGATCCTCTGGTGAGTTAAGTTTCTGAAACAAGTTGGTTTGTCCCTTAAGTATGTCTGGTTCATCTTGTAAGCTCCTTGGAAGGCACGTATGTCCATTCGAGTTTCTAATCGGTGTAAGATCTCACCATGTTGGACCTCTTGTTGTCTGATGACCTCATCAGAATTGACTTTTGTTTGTTATATGCCTCATCAGAATTAACTTTTGTTTGTTATATGCGTAGGTGTGCTCCATGTTGTTGTTTATATTTTTCGTATGTGGCTACTTATGTTTTGATTGTTTTCAGTTACGAGTTAGGTTTGGTTTATTTTCACCTTTGTGAAAAGCTAAACAGTGCTGTTACAATTATGAAATGCTTGTTCATGAGCTCATACAAAGAGAAAAGGAATATTTCACAATGGAACCAAAGTCTAGCATGAAGAATGTGTACCTTTTGGTTATGGACTTTGCCATAGCTGTTACAATGATGTAGGTCTACCTTTCTTTGTCTTTTACATGTTCTGTTTACGCTTATTGATGCTTTTTTTGTTCTTTTTACAGTTTGTAAAACTTCGTGGTGGACTTGGTAATGGCTCAAATGGGTTTTACTGGACGCATTTTCTCARCGGGGGTTAAACCTAACTCGATCGATCAACTTCACAATTATGTTGAAAAGGAGCATAGGTGTGTGTTCCAGATCCTTGTTCTGTTTTTCTCATGCTTTAATCTCTTGCCAGATTTTGACTATCTTGAAAAAGAAAACCATTGCTCTAGAAAGATCTTACTTCTTCCTTTTCTCCAGTATATGATAAGTCCCTGGTGGTGAGTCTGAGCTTTTAGAAACCAAATGTCACTTATTGAATGGGATTTCACAGCGAGATCCTAGATCTTAATGTCGTGTCTAGGTCTAAAAATGTCTATTACAATTTAAACATGAAAACTGTGATAATTTTATCTCAAAACATGAAAGATAGTTATTTCAATTTGAAAACTTGTTTTTTGTTTAACCATTTAATATCATGCATTCTCGAAAAACGTATACAAGCGAGGTTAAATATAATAGTATGTCATGCATTTTTTGAAATAAAACAATTTAATCATTTAATATCATTGATTTTGCTTGAAAAGTGCATGCTGAGTGCAAACATAGAAAGAACTAAACCTAATTTTTGGATGACTATAACCTGGAACCGGACTCGGGAACTTTAGTTTCAACTACATGTAGTTACTAACGATATACTTTCACGTAACATTCAATGTCACATCATAAGAAATAAAATAAAAGAAATTCAAATCACTACTAAAAGCATCTAACTAACGAATGAGTTCTGTAATGTATAAGCTAATTAAAAAAAAAGAATAAACAATACAAATTTCCAGTTTTTACAAGACTAACAATTTAATATCTTGATTTTGAGTTGTAGCT